GAAGGTCTACAGCACTTCCCTGTCAGTCACATGTGCTACAGAGGCTTTTAAAAAACGCCCTCTGGTGATGTATAGTCACCCTTCTTGGACACGAGTGGATCTTTTCACATGAGGATGCAGTAACAAGAAATGTCTTTCAGATGTGAACATATCTTTGTTTTACTGGTGATGATGCCATGAGTGGGAAAACTACTGGCTGCCCCTTCTGTAGGAGTAATTCCCCAGACTATCTCGTTATCCTCACACTGCATGCAAGTCTCTTCAGTCACATCATAGTATTTCAGCTCTTTGACACCTTAGCAGGAGAACAACCTTCATATGAAGTCTTCTGCAATAATTGTGGGAGATAAATCAATACGCTAAAGCTTTCAGAGAAGAAAAGTGAAAGATGAGATCACGCCATTCCTAGCAAGCAAGCACTAACTCAGGTGATAACATTTTGCATGTATGTGACATCAGTACAGTGCAAACATCAAAAAGAAATGGTTTGCAAACTTCAGACTATGATCAGATGTGAAAACAAGGCAGTATGACACAAAGAAACAGGAAAACAAATTGCTGAATCAACAGTGGGGCATTAAGGAGCATGCAAGCCTACAAACAGACTTCTTCAGCATTATGCCAGAGAAGAAAGCAAAATTCCAGTCACAATTTTAATTTGGCTTTGCTTAAAGACATGATCATAATACCAGTGTGATCATGTCAATTACAAGAAGAACAGCATGGAAAAGTATATAGGCTAAAATACCAGGGAATGCAAACATTGCCAGCCACTGCTTCCTGCTAAAACAAATGCATGCATGTAGCAATGCTAAACTTGGAAAACAGTAGTCAAACAAAAAAATACAGCTAAAGCAGATTATGCACCCTAGGACCCTTGCTGCTATACTTTTCAAGATCCACTTTGTAATTAATTTTAACCCAACTATTTTTAAATTTTCAATTATCAGAAAATGCATCTTTTTGCTAAAGATCAGGATATGCTGGATTTAGTGTAAATAACTAAAGCAGCTGAGTCCTTGGTCTTTATGCAAAACCAAGGTCCACCTTGACCATGATTTTTGTGCTTCTGCAAAAAGCAAACGTTGACCTGTTCTCTGCCAGTTACTTGCCTCTGTCCATCAAAATACCTGCTGGGACTGATTCTCAAAGCCCCAACCTCCCAACTACTGTAATTTGCTTGAGCAGGTACAGGTGTGAAAGTAAATGTTCCACTGTTGGGTTCTTCCCTTCCAAGAGTATAAAGGTATTTCCATTCAGCCATCCAGGTCTCCGAGTATGTCTGACCTATTGAATGAAGGAAAGAATGTCCTTTATAAAAGTTCTGTGGAGCACTCGACTCCCCATTTGTAATTAGGCCTGTTCACATGTGCTTAGATGGTGAATAACAAATAGCCATAGGATTTACATTCTCAACTGTAACTACAGTCTGCTAGCTCTTGGAGGCTCCATCGTGCCAGGCACTGTACACACCTGAATAAGAAGGCAGCTACGTGTTCGGAGAGAGTCCTGGTTTACCTGTTTCCTGGTACCCCCAGACTTCTATATTGACGTGTCTGGTTGGCAGCGTCTGGGTCATCCAGGTGACAGTCAGGGTTCCTCCTGTGTTCGGTGTGCCATAGTACTGCCATTTTGTGGCATTCACAAGTGTGCATTTTTCCACAGCTGACACCTTGCTGTGATGTACTGCATTGGGGAATGGACGATGAGTTAATATTTACTTGACACAGCACTGAAGAAAACAGTATTGTTGTAAGCAGGAGGTTGGAGAAACAGGGACCTTGCGCAATGAACACAGTAACCCCCTGGGAAAATTAGTCTTTTGGCCAGCTTTGCGTTCTGCACAGGGTGTCAAGTAGTGACACCCCTCCAGCAGTAGGTGAAAGAAGGATTGAGCCCTTTTTGCTATAGATGAGGCAGATGGAGTGGGGAAAACAACTTTTCAGAGGCTACTTAAAGCGGAGTCACTGGAGGGAAGTACAGAGGTGGCCAGAAAGGAAGAGTCTGTTGGGAAGGGTATAAAAACAAGAGATACTGTACAATTCCCTTTGCAACAAACATGGAAATAACCCTCCCCCCCACCCACACACACCTGATAACCAGTTTCCTGAATAGGGAAATGTGAGGCCACTGTCTCTGGAAACCTCGAAGGGAATGAAGCCAGTCTCATACAGCAATGGTGAGATGCAGTGGGCTTGACCATCCCGAGCAACATAGCCACTGATCTGAATCTCCTGCTTGAACCTGTTAATATTAAGAATGGTCTTCAGTGTGGGTGCTGAGAGAAGGAAAGTCATGAGCACCTCAGCTGGATTTTAAGTGCCAACTGGCCTGTGGGGTTCATTCCTACCTCCCTCTTTTCTCCATTTGGCAGGTTTAGCCTGATACTTTGTTTAGTGATGGCCACAGATGTGAACTTTGTGCTGTATTATTTATGACAGAAGTGTGGATTGTGCTGTGCAAGGTACAAACACACATAGATACATAGATTTTTAGCTTACAGTCTCCCAAGAGGCATGATAAATGAGTAACAAACCAGCAAAGGGGAGGAGGAGAACAAGAGTGACGGTGATAAGATCATGGGGCAAAGTGGCTGTCATAAACAGAAATTCAAAATGTTTCTGTTATTATAAAAGTAGTCTTTATCAAATGCTAGACTGCTTAGAACTCCCTTAACATTGTTCCAATTTCTCCTCTGCAAAAGTAACCCATGGCTCTACTCTCTGTTGCTGTCACTATAAGCCATGTCTGCACTCCCATAGGTGATGGATGCAGGATTAATTTCCTCATGTACAAGAATGTTGCAGTAGACAGACTCCCAGTCTGGACTCTGTCTGGTTCAATAGATACAAATCTGTGTATTTAAACAAGCAGATCTGCTGGTTTCCTCCCCCTGAAAATGTTGGCAGATGTGCCGCTCAGTCTCTTCCACCCCCACATGTAGTTCCAGAATGGCTGACATTATTGGGGTCTTGAAGCTATGAAAGAGCCACATCTAGCGCTGCAGGGAAAAGTGGGAGGTGTATCTAGAACCATCTCCGCCAAGCTTTCTGGGCAGGAGAGGATTGACTTGTACCCACCTGTAGTACCTCTATCTGCTGAGATGGCCCCACAGCCTCTACTAGAGACACTGTCAGTGCACATGGGGACTGACTCAGGTGGATGACGTTCAGCAAATCACCTACATCAGTCGCTGCAGGCCTGCGGACCCTGTCTCAAATCCAGCAGCAGGACACCTTGACCGGAATCTGCAGTTATGTTGATCTAATTCTGTTTTTGTTCTGGGAAGTTCCTCTGTGCTTGTATAACAGACTGGAATGCTAGAAGGTGTGGTGTGTGCAACTCCTGGAAGAGCTCCCATTTACTGAATGGCCTGTTCTTGGGTATATGAGAAAGGAATAACCTTGCAATAAGTTGTTCTCTTACAGTAATGGTTATCAAGCTTTTTAGACTCAAGGCACTCCTGGATAGATTCAAGGGACTCTTTGGAAAATGTCAGCTCTTAGCTTTCACTTCATTGTCAACTACAGAAAAAATAATAGAGCAATTCTTTGGTTGCAAAGAACTCAGAAAGACCACAGCAGGTCAGAATGCTTTTAACACTGTGGATTCCTATTTGAAATCTTTTGAGTTTATCTTGTGAATCACACCTCACAGTGCCAACATTGCATGACACCCCTGAAAGGATCTCAAGACATCCTGGGGTGCTGTGGCACTGTGGTTAAGAATCACTATCGGACAGGAGCGCATGGAACTTAGAGCACACACCTGTGAAATAATAGATCAGGAGGTAAGGTTGTACTGCTGTCTACAAACATCCTATTCTGTTCCCCTGTATAACTGCTGACCTAAGAAAGGTGCCTACCATGCTGGAGTAAAACGTTTAAATCACAACTCACCTGCATCTCACATCAGAGGAGGCATTGAAAGTAACATTCAAAATCTCAAAGTCTTTGCCTCCCATCAGGGACCCTGAGTATGGAGAGATTTGCAGACAAAATTCCCTGTAATCAGGACAGCAATCCCCCAGGGACTTGCAGGTCACCTGGCAAGAGCACTTGCCCAGCATCTTCCCACACTGGCGGGAGCACGAATCTTGAGCTTCTATTAAAAAATTGAAAAACAAATCTTGTTAGGAATGGAGTTGTGCAAGCATTAGTTTTATCAGTCGCTGGAAAAGCCATGGCAGCAAGAATCCCAAGAAGCAGTGACAAGTGAAAGGCAGCACCTTTCTTGCCCATGAAGAACACTGGCAGCTAATTTAGTTTGCTCCGCCAGTATTCAGTCCATGCCCTGTGGGCACCTAGCATAGCTCAGGCCAGACACCTTTAATGAGCCAGTGCAAATCCAGTCTCAATTTCTCAAAAGCTGATTATCTAGCTCTGCCTCATTTTGCCTGTTTAAAATGCAGTTATGAAAAAAAAAACCTTAACTGAAGTATGGGCAGGAGTGGAGGGAGGGAAATCAGTTCCAGCCACCCTGGGTAAAGAGCAGATGCTTCCAGTTTGCCCTACTACTTTCATGGGGAAGAAGCATGTCTTGTGCCAACCTTCCAGTAGGGAGAGAAATTGGCTTAGCCCCACCACAGTGGGGTGAGTGGGGACAAAAATGCCTGCTGTGTACATAGAGAAAACCCATATCTCTCAAAAAGCCTTTCCCTGGAGGTCTGTCTTGATGCTGCTTTGAATCCCTGCATATAGGACAATGAGGACAGTTTGGCCTCATGAAGAAGACCTTGGTCATTCCACGGGATGTGGGGAAGGAGATGGTAAAGGGACAGAAGAGCAGTATGTATCACAGCCCATAGTCACTCTCTCCTCTGGGATCTCTGACTGTGATAAGCTGCTTGAATTTCTCTGTCAAAGCACATAATATTGCTTCAGGTTATAAGTGGGGAAAAAAGAGAGATGACATATGGGTTATGACCATGTTTACATTAAGGGAATCTGTTCACATAAAAAAAGATGATTGTTCATCTGGGTTTGCAGACATAAAACATGTAAAAGGAAGGATAACCCTACAAGAAGCGTTTAATAACAACAGATCAAACCAATATTATATTAAATCAATTAGTCTACTGGCTCTCTGGTTCAGCTCTTTCCCCACTACAGTCAACCAAAATTTTGCTTGTGCTTTATTATTGTCTCTTCAAGCTGAATATCATTTACAGTACCAAAATCTGCTTTAGGACTTGTTTTTGTTAGGTTGAAAACTGAAGACCTAATAATACAGTGCCATTAAGCACTTTAAGTGTTTCTACTTTTAGTCTTTCTAAGGTGGTTATTGCCTTAGTGGTTATAGCCTTGTCAGCTCCACATTGTATGTAGCAGGCTGACTTCCCTAGGGTCTTTGCATACATTTTTCTTCAGAATAAAAGCAAATTACTAGAAACTGTAACAGATTTTCTATTTTACATTACTGGTACATGATTTTAAACAATAAATGAGCTTGGAGTTAGGGAGTCAAATGTTACTTTCACTTACATCTCAACAACTCAAAGGGTCTGATATAGACATTTTCAATAAACACCCAGCGGCAATTTCTGGCTAGATCACTGGATGGTGTGTCACTATAAATTGTAAGATTTAAACTCGGATGACTGTACTAAGCAACAGAAAACTCTAGCACCAGAAAACCCTTGTCAAAGCCAAGGAGTAGTTTCATAGGCACATTGCTTACTGAATGGTCTTTGGATCAGGCTTCCTACTGCACCAGAGAAAAAGAATCAAACATGGAAATTAAAATTTTTTAACAAATTTCTGAGTATTCCTATCACCCCTATATGCAAGCATCATAATCTAAAATGATGATGATGATAAGAGTAAAAGATTCCAAAGACTCTTAAAAAACAAAAAACCTGCTTTTCTAAAGCTCTCTTCTGCACAGTTGGTGAAGAGTCTTGAGCAATGTCATAACAGTCAGGGTCAGTTAGGTTCCTCTCAAAACAACACATCTGTCACTTTAACATGGAAATTTAAACAATATATATAATTAAGGTCCATGACTGGAAGAAGATAGGAGAAAAGAAAAGCCATAAATATTAATGAATTTTAATATTTGAGAATTTTGACAAAATATGTAGGTACTTAAATAACCTTTTATTACTGGCATATAGTGAATGGCTTTACATTTGCAGATTAATTGGTTTAAACATGTATTAGAATATTTATTTTTTTAAATACTAAAAGCCTGTTTGTATAAGCTTCATTTGCTGTATACTTTTTTAACAAATGGTTTTCTACTTCTTTTTTCTTCTCCCTTTTTTTTCTGAATGGAAATATGTTCATAGTCTCTTCCATCTTGTTCATTCATGAAAGAACTCCTGGCATATTTGTCATTATAATTCAAGACAAAAAAAAAAGACTACGTCACTTAGCTTTTCTATCTTCTTTCTTAGCTTTAATAACTAATTAATGCCATTTTCACTTCTAGAAGGAAGAGGGTTGCTGTGATTGTGGTCATGGCAACTAAACTTAGCATGAGTAGTTTCAGAATATGCAAAATAACTTATATTCTTATCCTGTCATTTAAAGCTGCATGAGCATGATGAAAGAAAACAGCTATCGAATAAATTGCAAATCATAGTAAGGGATACCACAAAACCATAACAAGCTACTACTCAAGTACTTGGTTGGATTTACCAGAGTGCATCTTCTGATCTATGAAAGAAAAGAGAAAAGATTCAATTGAAAGATTAATTTTTGAAGCCTGCCATTTTGTGCCCCAAACCTAAGCTTCCCTTTACACCTAAAAGAAGTTTTGTGGCTGCAAAAAAACCTTTCAGAATATAGGGCAAATACACATCAATTTAGTAATAGTTGTCTTGGCTTCTGGGAAGCCTGAAACAGCAGCATGGAAAGAAAGTTGAACTGAAATTAACTCTGAAAACAACTCTGAAACCAGTCACCAATTTAAGTAAAGCATCAGGGCTAATGAAAATAGCTTATAGCAGCAGAAGCAGCAGCAGCAATGGCAGTACTAGTATTACCAATAATGGTGATGATGATAAATTAAAATAACTATTTATTATAAAATATAAAGTATGTCACATTTGTATTGTGCCTTTCACCAAAGGATCTCAAAGCTTTTTGCTGACAATAAATAAGCCCCATCATTTATGAAGTTCACCCAAGGTGAAGTAGGTTATTACTGTAATTAAACTACTTTTATACAAGGATAAACTGATGAGCAGAGAAATATAGCGGAAAAAAACACAGAAAGCCCTGGTTCAGTCAGAAATTGAACCCAAACATCTATACACCTGCTGTAACCGACAAATAACATTTCCCACATAAAACAAAAATGGTATCAGTGGAACAGTGATTAGGAACTTAAGACTGTAAACCCCTCCCCAGGCAAGCAGTTCCTTTTTGTATGCACTTCTACAATGACTAGCCTTGAACGACAGCTGGGGCTCCTATATACTACCTCAATACAAGTAAATAATAATTTAGAATCAAAATTAAGGAAACTTAAAAAAAAATTCTATAAAATACATACCCACTAAATACTTGCCTACCTGTACCTGTAGTTCATTTATCACTGCAATCCAGTGGAATGCAAGTGGAAAGAATATAAAGCTTCCAGATTGATCATTTTCAAAGTTTTACTACATCTTTGAACAATTAAAGTTTCACAAGCAAGTCTTCAATGGATTAACAGCCTCATTTTTGTGAAAATTGTCCCCATGGCTTTTCATTACGTTAGATAGTCATTTAAGCTTGTTCCTAATCATGACACAATGTCAATGGTCACTAACATCATTCCTGTTATTACCCAGACAACAATTTTGGCAAATAGGAATAAATTTACCCTCCAAGACAGAGGTTTTTTGAGGGTAAGATGCTTTATTCCTATTTATGAACTGGAAATGAATTATGCAAATTCAGCAAGTAGTTTCAACTGAAAAGGTGTGGTGGTGGGGTGAGATTCTGAAAATATTGACAGATTTCATGGCATTGTTTGGAATTTGTAAATTTTGGAAATCTTATTCTGAAGTCATAAAATCCATATTTATTGTTAAATTATTCTAAATTTTTTAAAAGTATAAAAAGAAGTCAAATAAAAATTGTTTCAGGTTAAAACAAGATTTAGGGCTGTCCCAAATTATACTTTTCTTATAAAAAATTCTTTTTGTTTACCTGAACTGATCCACCTCCCCAGCCTGATTTTCCAGTTCAGCCATAAGAGGAAAAATCCATTATTTACTTAGCTCTAGTTATTGCTATGGTTCATCCCAAAGGAATACGACACTATTCTGAGAAAAGGAACCACTCTCCCCTCCTTTATTCACAACATGCTGTACCTGTCATGGTGAAGTTGCTGAACTCAATTTGCCACTCCTTACAGTGCTTCAGCACTTGCTAGCAGGTGAGATTAACAGGAAAACACTCAACCATAATGTTATAACAGCAAATGTATTGAAAAAATACACAAAATTAAACTATTGGTGCTGTGGATGTCACCCACTTGACTGTAAAATTAAACTTTGTAACAGGAGAATTATTCATTATTGTCAGCCATAGCTTTGCTAGGGCTTCTTATCTTGAAATAACGCATTTCCCTGATTCAGAATTTTTCTTTCCAGTCTATGCAAAAAAGGTCCTTGGCATCCATCAGATAGGGTCCTGATTATTTCTTCTATACTAATACACAGATACTATTCCATCGATTATGCACATAACTGGATTTAGGTGTCTAAGTGTGACAATTCCACCCTTCTCAAGTAACTTAAAAAATGTTAATGCAAAAAGTGGGTTGGTCCTCTCTGCACCTTTTGCATTTTTGTGATTCACTCTTATGCATCAATTGACCACATGTTACAAAAGGACACACACTACTGCATTTTCAGGAACTAAAAGAGGATGGAATAGAGTTGCACTTGAGCATCAAAATCCACATAAATGCTCAGTAGGTGAAATAGCATCTGTGTCCAAGATGGTTATCCTTAACTGTCATTCATTTAATTTATACCTAGATATACTATCCCTAAGTGACTCAACATCTGGGGTAAAGAAGGTGTTTCACTTTAAATCAAGATCTGAGTCTCAGCCAGATGGTCACATGACAGAGGGCTTTAAGGCAGGGGTTGTCAACCAGGGGTACACATACCCTCAGGGGTACTTGAGAAGGCCCATAGTGGGTATGCGCGGGTGGGGATGGAGAGCTGCCACACACCATTCCATGCTGCCACACTGGCACTGCCCACCCAGTTGGACACAGGGGGCAGGAGCACCATCCCATGCTGCTGTGCAGGCACCACCCACCTGGCCAGACATGCAGGGCAAGGGAAGCTTGCACGTGATGGCTGCTGCCACTCTACACTCAGCCACGCATCATACCCTTCTCCACTCCCCGCCCCCCCCGTATCTGGCTGCTGGGGATAGACTGCTCCACAAAGGTTGAAAATCCATAATTTAAGGTTTTAATGCAACCTCTTCATCAAGGATTAGCTTCGAGTTAGAGGAGGGTTGGGCAGAGGCACTATGGATCAAACTACAAGGGGGGCGTGGTGAAAGGGACCTTAAAGTGGGTGTCTACTACAGTCCACCCAACCAGGAGGAAGAACTGGACCAGGACTTCTCCAGTCAGCTTATGGAGGTGATTAGGTCAAGGGATGTTATTGTCATGGGTGACCTAAACTACCCAGATATTTGCTGGGAGGAGCAGACAGCCAGGTCTGACTGCTCGCATAGGTTCCTGGCTGTATTACAGAACCTTCACTTTATCCACGAAGTGCACAGCCCCACCAGGGGTAATGCCTTGCTGGACCTGGTCCTGGCCACGGGGGATGACCTAGTGCGGGGACTGCAGGTCCTTGACCACCTGGGCAATAGCAATCATCACCTGCTGGATTTCATTATCCAATTCAGGGCGTCAAGGGCTCACACCAAGGCTAAAGCCCTTGACTTCAGAAGGGCCAACTTCAATGAGCTTAGGAGACTGGTGGGGGAGGCACTGAGGGCCCAGAAGGTAGAGGAGATGAGAGTCCATGAGGGATGGTCGTACCTTAAGGGGGCAATCCTCCAGGCCCAAAGGTTAACAGTTCCTGAGAGAAGCAAGTGGGGTAAGAGTGCTCAGAAACCCCCTTGGCTCAGCAAGGGCATTCAGCAATGCCTAAGGACTAGAAGGGAGCTGTACAACCAGTGGAAGGGAGGAGCTATCACCAAGGAGGAGTACTCCTACTTGGCCCATGAGTGTAGGAGGGCTATTAGGAAGGCCAAGGCAGAGATGTAACTCAGGCTAGCGTCCAGGATTAAGGACAACAAAAATTCCTTTTTCAAGTACATTGGGAGCAAGAAGAGGGCACCAGGCAATGTGGGGCCACTGCAAGAGGCAAATGGTAATCTTGTGGCTACACCAGACAAGAAAGCTGATATTTTTAACAATTTCTTTGCTTCTGTTTTCTTGAAAGGGACTGGGATATCCCACCTACCAGAGTTAGGGACAATCTCGGGGATAGCCCTGTTAGACCTTCTGTCAGCGCAGATGTTGTTAGGGATCTTCTGGAAGGGCTAGACGCATTTAAATCTGCAGGTCCAGATGCCCTCCACCCAAGGGTGCTGAGGGAGCTGGCAGGGGTCATCGCGGAGCTCTTGGCCCAGCTGTATGAGCATTCATGGTCATCTGGCCAGGAGCCAGGGGATTAGAAACTGGCTAATGTGGTCCTAATTTTCAAGAAAGGGAGGAAGGAGGACCCAAGTAACTATAGGCCTGTAAGCCTCACCTCGGTATTCGGGACGATCTTGGAGAGGATCATCAAGGAGCACATCTGTGGGGGGCCAGCAGCGGAGATCATGGTCAGGGGCAATCAGCATGGGTTCATCAAAGGCAGGTCCTGCTTGACCAACCTGATTGCCTTTTATGACCAAGTAACTAAATCCTTGGATGATGGTGCCGCTGTGAACGTAGTCTTTCTAGACTTTAAGAAGACCTTTGACACTGTCTCTCACCCCATCCTCATCAATAAATTAAGCGACTGTGGCATTGATGTCTGCACAGTTGGATGGGTAAAAAATTGTCTGATGGGGCGCATCCAGAGAGACGGGTTGTACTCAACCTGGCAAGATGTGAGCAGTGGGGTCCCCCAGGGCTCAGTTCTCGGGCCCACATGCTTTAACATCTTCATCAGCGACTTGGACGAGGGGGTGGAAAGCACGCTGTCCGAGTTTGCTAGTGACACTAAGATGTGGGGCGAGGTGGACACACTTGAAGGGAGAGAGAGGCTGCAACTAGATTCAGACAGACTACACAAGTGGGCAGACGAGAATAGGATGGGGTTCAAAGTAGACAAGTGCAGGGTGCTGCACCTGGGGAGAAGGAATTCACAGCATACATACAGGCTGGGGAGTTCCCTTCTTGAAAGCACAGAGGCGGAAAGGGATCTTGGAGTGATTATTGACTCTAGGTCAAATATGTCTAGCTATCAATATTTCCAAGTCTGAATATCTCCAGCTCTGAATATCTCCAGGTCTAAATATCTGCAGCTGTAAATATCTCCAGCTCTAAATCTTGGCAGCTCTGAATATCTCCAGCTTCATATATCTACCTGTATGTATGTATGTATGTGTGTATATATATATATATATATATATCCAGCTCAGTATATCTTCAGCTCTGTATATCTCTAGCTTCATATAGCTACATCTCTATATATCTCCAGCTCTATATTAGTCCAGATTCATATATCTATATCTCTATATATCTATCTGTCTGAATATCTGCAGCTCTGAATAGCTCCAGCTTCTCATCTCTAAATATCTACCTCATTATATATATCCAGCTCTGAATCTCTCCAGCTCTGAATATCTTGAGCACTGAATAGTTCCAGCTGTCTTCAGCTTCATCTATCTACATGTCTATATATTTATGTCTCTATATATCTCCATTTCTGAATATGTCCATCGCTGTCGATCACCTCTAAATATCTCCACCTCTATATATATTTGCAGCTCTATTTATCTCCAGCTCTATATATGTTCAGCTCTCTTTATCTAGGTCTCTAAATGTGTCCATATCTGTATATCTCCTGGTGCATATATCCCCAGGTGCATATATCTCCAGCTGTGACTAACTCTCTCTCTTAATATGTCTATATTTGTATATTTTTCTCTGTATATCTCCAGCTGCACATATCTTCAGCTCTGTGTACATCCAGCTCTAACAACCTGTGTCTATTCATATATGCTGTGTCTGCATTCATTCCAGGACGGCGCAGGCGTGGTTAACATGTCCCTGTGCTCCCTGTCTGTTGCTTTTGCTCTCGTAGTGAAGTTCATGCCTTCGTTGTCACACTGGGGGCCGGGGTAGAGCTTTCCCCACAGGGGTGTGGTTTTGAGTGCCTGCCAGAAAGCACCTTGAAGAGCTGTGACAGTCATCTCACAGGTGCAGGGTTTTCCACTTTTCCTGAAAACGGGCTCTTCCACAGCCCGTGCTTAGGCACCCATCATCACTAGTGAACTCTTAACAACCTGGCTGGTATCTAGGGCAGTGTCAGAGCAGTGTCACCTTGCTGAGGGACTGAGATAAGTCCTTGTCTGCCAGAAGGAGGCCCGAGCTGTTACTGGCCCCACCGCACTTTCCCGCCCTCCCGCAGGCTCCCCGCCGGCACCGCTCCCCGACGCCAC